CTCGCCCCCGTCTTCGCGTTGATTCGATCGGTAAACGGTATCGTCGCCGCGCGACTCTTTCGCGTCTGATAACGAGCCCCGAAAAGGTAGCAGGCGATTGCCAGAAGGCGAAGTGGTAACGATAAGAGTTTGTAGTGGCCGATGGTGCGTACGTTTCGCGCTTTGTATACAGCATGTGCATGCCTCTTTTTCTCTCGCATCTCGATTTATACAATACCTTGGTATATGTTAAAACACACAAACACACACACGCGCGCGCACACATACACACACACACACACACACACACAAAAACGTTTTTGCGAAAAATTTATACACTGTATTTACGCACGTTTACGCAGCTTCTGAGTGCCACGCGCGTTCGCAAAAATCGCGCTGCACTCTTCGCATATTTCTTCTCACTCGTTTTTCCTCGAGTCAACGAATAAACACCCTTCTGCCTTCAACGGCTGAGTGCGAGGAGTGCGTAAATTCACTTTTTACCTTGCGAACGCGACGGAGCACGTGCAGATTTTTTTTTCCTCCGTTACGTGGTTGCTTTCAACGTACCCCCCCTGCCCCTCGCTCGTGATGTGTGTGCGCAACTTTTTTGCTTGTAGTTTGGCGTTGTTGTCTTGGCGTGACCCGATGAGAATAACGAGTGATTTATTAATAACGTAATGTATCTCTCCCCCCCCCCCCTCTCGGGTAAGCTCTGTGATATGGATAACGTTAGTAGTTAACGCGCGACGGCGAGAATCATCGTAAGTGATTTGCAAGCGCGGCGACGGACGCGCGGCAAATCGGTGACGAAGCGACCGTGGCGAAGCTATTGAGTCTCTTGATTAAAATGCGTTGTAAATTAATGGACCAGCTTTTGTACTGTTGCAAGCAGCGCCTGTCGAACACGATGTTGAAGAATATACTTTCCGAGCGTGGGCGTGTTCAAAGCACGGTGTATAAATTGAAAATTTTTCTAAAGATAACTTTTGACTCGCCGCGTTTTACTTTTAATTATTTTCCTTTAAATTAAAGGTCAATGTTATATACTCAAGGAATTATTGTAAATTGTTGAACTCAAACGGATCGCCGATGATTCCTTTCGCTATGTTGATCGTCACTGGATGATCTCTATATAGGTGCTAATATCCCGTTGTCGTCATACGAATGCCGTAATGTGCGTCTCTGATATTTATAGGTGCAGCAGCCAATCTACGTAAGGAAGTGATCAGAAACAAGATTAGAGCCATTGGCAAAATGGCACGGGTGTTCTCCGTCCTGAGGTCAGTGAACAATCCGTTCTTTAAATACTTTAAAGACATCTAAATATGCCAAAACGTGTCTGAAAATACTTCGGTATAAAAATAATAGACGTATTATTTTTGCATATATTATATAGCTGTAAGCTATAGTATATAATATATATTATATATTAGCTATAAGCCGAACTCCGGAACTCTTGCAGGGTTCATAACTGCGGATTCTTTTACGAATTAAAAATTGAGACAAAAAGCAGATTACAATTCATAGATGAGTTCTGCATTATATAAAAATTGACCGAAACTTGTACTATTACTTAACGAATTTTAATTATTTAATTAATAATATCTCTTCTTGACAGAGAGGAGAGCGAGAGCGTGCTGCAGTTGAAGGGCTTGACGCCGACTGGAGCTTTACCGCTCGGTGCATTATCTGGTGGCAAGACCTCTCTGAAAAACGGTAAGAGTGTTTTAAGCAACGGTAAAATAACGTTCTGACATTACCGCTGAGAAAAATTTTAATTCAGTTTAGAACTTAAAAATCCAGTGAACTGTACGTATATTTATAATTATTCTTTATCGTGATGCAACGTGAAGGTATAGAAGCACCCAGATACCTCGATTGTTACTTCTCGCGGATAATAAACGTCTCACAGTAGCACAACCGGATAGTCGCGAAAAAATAAGAGAGAATTGAATCCAAACGCTGGAGCGTTTACTTTACGATCCCGCGCGTCCTGACATACCGTGCTTCTGCTTTATCTTCCTCCCTTTTTCTGCCGTGTCTCGTGCAGCACTTCAAGGCTTCTCGCCGAATCACAAAATTACCTCGTTCGCCGAGGCCAAGGGCTTGGACGCCATAAACGAAAGAATGCCACCGAGGAAAGACGCACCGCCCACGCCGGTGAACGAGGAGAAAGCCGTGACAAAGCCGCCGCCTCCTGCGGGAGACAAGCGGGACCACAACATGCCGCAACCGCAGTCGTGAGCCCCACACTCGTCCACTCAAGGTACGTGTCCGCAGATCCTAAACGTCGGGAGAGAACAAGAGGGAGAGCGCTCGCTTGTGCCTCTTGGCCCGGCTTAGTCAGTAAATTTTGCGGGAGCTACACGGTATTTAGCGCGCTTACCTAACCGCGACCTCGAAGCTCTCACTCGAGTTTGAGATAATTGCTTGCCGAAATTAATCACTAACAGATATTTTATCATTTTTCTAATCTCTCTCCTAAATAGATCAACAAGATCAAAAATGATAATTATGAATTTGGATGATGTGAATTTTTAGCCATCGATTTACCGGTAATCTGATGCTTTTTATGTGGCAAAATGTCACGTGCTTTAATATATTGTATCTTTTGGAAAAAGGCTATCATCCCTGAATCGGAATAGCGCCTTTCGTCGACTCTGATAAGATTAAAGACGAGCGCACGCTACATCTCGCGCCACCATATTAACGTAGAGTGAACGTTTTTCAGATGGCGGACGGACGGACGGGTCCTAAGATCCCGGCGCTATCGCCGCCACCACCGAACCATTTGCAAACCATTGCTCGTCTCTCCCCCTCCCCCCTCCCCCCCGGCTGTTACAACCAGTGCGCTGTTCATCGAGGAGTCAGGAGAAGAAACCCATCGCCGTCGCGAGAGAGGAAGAGATCAGAGGAACGGACGGATGAGACGGTCGTGCGCGTAGCGAAAGAGATTTTTCGTCGATGCGATTTTCGAAGCGAGCATCGTCATCGGTCCCGGGGCATACGCGCATAGCGGAGGAGGAAGCAGCAGCATCATCATCAGCAGCAGCAGCAGCAGCAGCAGTCAAGGCAAGGGGACGCGAACATCGAGAAACCCAGCCCGAGCGAATTTCGTAGCGGGCGCTCTCCTCTTCTCCGAGGATTTTGCCTCCGTATCTCTTTTTCGCGTACACTGCATTCGCGAATGGGGAGAACGAGAACGTTAGCCTCCCTTCTATGATGAGCCGCGCGCGTGCGATGTTCTCCGATCTCTCAATGCCGTTCGCGCAATTATTCCTTGCTCTTTTTCTCCCTATCTATCTATCTATCTATCTATCTCTTCTCTTTCTCTCTCTCTCCTTATCTTCGCTCACTCCGTCACTCGCAATTTCCTCGCTCTTCTCTTCCCCAACATCCACGAACGTGTACATTACCCGCGTATTTCTCGCGGATTAATCGACCCGATGTTACATACGCACGCGCGCATGTACGTATCAACGACGAGAGCGGAACGTTAGAGAGCGTGTGTATCTTGTAGGCAGATTCGTTTACAACACGTCGAGATGTTCACGCATGGAGGGGTGGATGACGACTTCCTTCTCCCCCCCCCTTCCTCGCCCCGTTGTCTCCACCGGATACCACCATTTCTCTCGTATTTCTTTTCTTTCTTCGGATGCGGAAAAGCGAGGAGAGAGATCCGGAACGGACGGCTCGCGCGCGCGGTTACGTCTATCTAATAATGAGAGGAATCGCATAGACAGTGTGAAAGAGAGAGAATGAGAGGGAGAGAAAGAGAAAGAGAGAACGGACGAGCGGTCTCCGCCAAAGAAACAAAGAGGGCAGCTGGCCTGTCGTCACGCGGCGGAGCTTCCGGTTTTAGGATTTTACTAGGTTCTTAAGATGTGTCCGCCCTGGGTGACGCGTAAGGGCATCCCCCGCGCCACGGGGTGGGGTTACTTAAATCTTAAGTCGAGCTAAGCTTAGGGGCTAAGTCGTAAATTATATGCATATATATATAAGTTATATATTTAAATTATATAAATTATATATACGTGCATCGGAGAATTTATTTAATATACATAAATATTATAAATATTATATATATTATATATTATTATTAATTATATTATTATCATTATTATTAATTATTCATTATGTAATCCGAATACCGTGTTTTTCGCTGCCGCGCGTGCACACGTCCGTCACGATCGCACGAAATAATTAACGCGCGAAAGAAATGCACGTCGGGCGCGCGCATCGTTTCCAAGTACGCTCATTATACGAGCGTATAATCTATCTCTTGGCCGTTCTGCCCCGAGGATTCATTCAACATTCTCGTTCGTGCGATATATATCGAAGAAAATATCTCGTTCTCGTTGTATCTCCATTTCACGGAACTGCGCGCACGGCCATGATCTTACACGCAAGATATTCGTTATCATGTTAAGTTTATTGAGGTGAATCTCGCCACGTTGTAATAACACGAACAGGTCACAGGTCCAGGCTTGGTAGCTCAATAGTAATTATCGCGTTTTTCGTTCAAAAAAACACTTGAGCTGTCACGGTTATGTCACATGCAAGAATCTCTCGCTCGTATTACAATCGGCGTAGCACCGGGCTGGTGAAATATATATCGTCTTACATGCGGTCTCTATGAACTTCCGTTTTGTCGTGTATTTTGTGATATCGTAGAGGGTGAGCTTTAGGACTACATATACCGAAAACGAGATAGTTTTGTACAATAGCACTTTTCCTGACGAGACGAGTCAAGAAGAGGCTTGAATTCCGCATGAACGAGAATCCCCCCTCCCCCCCCCCCAAAAATTGCGTATATGTACATAAATAATATATATCAATGAGCTATGACACGTACGCTCGTTTAGACATGTGATGCATATCTCTTGCCCCAACTAGTCGCACAAGTTTGCTAGAAAGAGCCAAAGTGCAAATTGAAAGGCACGCCCGGTGGAACGATCGTAATGTGCTATCCGGGCGTGAGTATCCGCCAATAGGCTCGAAATTAAAATCCGATAGTAGGTCATAATGGTGCTGGAGAAACGCGCGAGCTAGTAAGAGTTAAAGAAAGAGAAGGCGATACGGTTTTTTTTTTCTTAAATGGAAGCGGCACCTTGCAAGAGCGTTAATCTATTATCTCGAACGTGTGTGCTCGTACTCCTACCTGATCTAAAGCCTGAAAAACACAGTTCGCACTCTCTGCTTGTACCTGGCGCCTGGAAAGTGAATCCTCGCCGTCAATTTTGATCGACAGCGGTACAGAACGGCCAAGCGTGAGGGGGAAAAAAAAAAACACTCGAGAACCGTAATTCGCGAAATGACGACGTGCCGTGAATGATTTCGTGATGGAAAAAAAAAACAGATGATATATTACATTTTTGCGAGTTACTTATTTCGAGGGGTGGATTCCACGGGGAATTATAATCGCGCTAGAGAGAAAGAGAAAGTGTTACAAAATACGTTTCTCGTGCGGGAAACGAAACGGCGATCGTCGAGACGAAGCTTCCGCTTCGATCGTCCGCGCTGTCACGCGCTCAATACGCTTTGTCGCCACGTGACGTCCCGAAGATAATCAGAATCGAGGGCGGCTACTCTCGTCTCTCGTCTGTAATATTTATATAGTAATAATCGCTCGCGGTCGTATCGCGGGATTTTGTCGTCGTTTTCGCTGTTTTTTCTACCTCTTCTCTAGAACGTCGAGACGTCGCGCCTTAGCGAGGCTTCGCGGGGGCTGAATTTAGCGTCGGCGAGCAGCGCGGGGGATCGCAAGCCTAATTCATATCCGGATACCGGGAAGGACGAGAAGTCACTGTGTGTAGATTGAGAGATTCGGGGCAAAGAGCATCTCCGGAAGCCGAATGGCGGCATCGTCAGCGTGTTACGGTCTGAAACATAATAAAAGTAATGAAAGAATATTATATAATAAAAATGAAATAAGATATATATCTCTTTCTTCTCACTACGATATAAAAATATACAGTGAATAATAATTCTATCTCTCTTTGCTACCAAGTTGTACTTATTCTTAATTAATTTACTTGTACAAAAGAATGTGTTAAATAATAATGAAATATATAATATAATATACAACACAATTATAAATAATACATATTATAATTATAAATATAAATATATAAATATACATATATACATAAAAAAAAAAGGAGCACTACGATATATACAGGATGTCCCAGAGCTATCGACACTCCTTTCATCTATGGATTCCCTCCGATTTTTCCCTGAATGTAAATTTTACTACGAGTGTATACGTCGATTTTTCACAAATTTAATTCTCGAAGCTGAATGTAAGACCCGAGGTAAAATATTTTCGAGGTTCGCTTATAGTTCGACAAGTGCCATTTCTCGATTTCAAATCGATCAAAGAATTCCCGGATGAAAGAGGCTGCCGCAATTCCGGGATACCCTGTATACACACGTGTATACATATACATTGCAGTGTTGGTTATCTGATATTACCGCATCATTATGATTACGACGCGATTATTATTCATTTTAATTAATAATCTTATTATTGCCATTGTCACACTGCTGTCGCCATGTTGAGATCATCGCTACCACCGTTATCACTTGTACTATCGCTATCGCGGAAACGCACGAGGCGCATTTACGCGCGTTCGGCGCTATAGTGATTTTCAAAATGATATATACGCGGGTCAAATTAATAAAACGCGCATACGCTATATATACGTATTACAATATTGCGATCGTCGCTTGCGCTACGATACCGACGAGGGTGACGCCGATAAAATGATGATTCAGAATCGCGATTCTCAAGTCGCTCCCGTCTGTCCTTTGGTTGTAGAAACGGATCCGTTCTATGAATGCGAGGTGAGCTACTAAGAAAAAAAAAGAGCTGTGTGAACGCGAAGAATGAATTAAAAGGACTTCCCTGTCGCATCTACACGAACTTTCACGGACCATCCACCTTTCGGATAACAGTCTTGACTTGTGCCTTGTTTAGACGTTTCCAATCATTTCCAATCGACTCGCGCTTCGATTCGCACACCCTACACTCGAATAAACTCACCCTCCCACCCCTTCCCCTCCCCCCTACCCTTCCCCGCCGACGTTGTTCCTTTACGGGAGAAATGTTTGATAAATCCAATCGCGATCGCGCGCGTCGTCCTTTCTTTCGATACGGAATGGTCTTCCTCGGTGACTCCTTGCGGACGAAGAAATTGATTCCTCGCGCTTTCTCGGTGTAACGTGTGGCGTAAATTCCTAGAGAGTTGCCGCGAATAAAATTCATTAATTTTACCACCGAGAGCCGCGACGTTGTCTCGCGGTTAACTCGACGATCTATATTTCTGCGTGGAACGATCTGGCAGCATGCGATCACTCCATCAACGCATGCGGACGTGCCCTGTTCATTCATTTGAGAATGTAGCGTCATGCCGGCACCGAATATTTTATATCCTACCATAGATATAATACACGCGACCAGTGTCACCATACGTGCGTAAAACGCGAATTTTGAGGTCACTCTTTACACACGTACGCATCTTAACACAAAGAGAGAATCGTGTATACATACGCTAATACATACGCGACACACATGCGTGCTGTATATACATACAGAGTGCCGCGCGGCAAACCTATTTGCAAGCTTGTTGTGCAATTTGAGATCAGTTCCCTTTTGAATAATGATTTCTTATTATTCATTAAATTTTTAATGGGTTTTTGTGGAGTTTTAATTCATGACTCGGTCACCGGGATGAAAAAAAAAAGCGTATATGAAGTAACGAGAATAAGATGGGATTCAAATTATTTTCAAGGAAAAATTGGCTCCAAGTTCCTCAAATAGCCTGTTGATGAGATAATTTGTCATGTAAATCGCGCAACGCTCTGTATATACAAGCACACGCGTAATTAGATATTATGTATAACGCAAAGCATATTTCCTGTATTTCCTGCGTTAGTGTAAAGCCTCATTTTATCGTACATTACATATATACACACAACACACACACACACACATTTATGGATAAGTAAACCGTTTAAGCAGCGTCTCATTATCGTAACAGAATCGTTTAACTTCGAAAGCGTCTTTCAGGGGAGAAGCTCGCGCTTTTGTGCAGCTGAGCGCATCTACTGTAATAGTCCTTGTTTTTATCTTCTTTTTCCTTTTTGCAAGCGACTGAACTAAAGTGCTGTGTGTGTGACTCTCTTCGTGGCAACGTTGCGTTCCATACGCGAACTCGGTGGCGCACCTTTTTATTACGTATTCTTTAAATTTAGCTCTTACACTTAGCGCGGAATCAGGCTTCGTTCGACAAGCGAAATTCTTATCGGATTCTCAAGTTTAGCGCAACGATTTTCTCGTTATCACGGGACTTGTGTAAATTCGAAGGTAAAGACTTTTCGCGATAATTTTCCCGACTGCAAATGCAATGCGAAACAGCCGGGGAATTTTGCATTTTCTTTTCTTTATCATCCGAATTGTCCTCGCGACGATATCGTTATCGCCGTTGTTGAGGCTACACCAAGGCTCTTTTAACGTTATTTTCTCTAGTATATCGTTCTCATTTCCCTTCTCTCATTCGCGAAAATTCCGCGGAAGGAAAAAGAAACGAGGAAGGAGTGAAACTTCTTTCGGGGAATCTCCCCCTCAACGAGTCGCATCGAACGCAACTTAATCGAGTTTCACCGAGAGAAACAATTTTATGTACCTGTTACGACTGATTATTATCGTGTTGTATCCATCGCTGAGGACAGCGAGAGAGAGAAAAAAAAATACGTGTATATATGTATGTACATACATACACATGCCCCCCCGCGCGCACGCGTATGTACATATATATCTATATATATATATATATTATCGTACTGTTACGATTGTTTTGTAACTATCGTTATATGTCATTTGGCTGCTTGTTATACCGACGGCTTGCGATCGGCTGATTATACATCGCCTGAACCGTGTGTACATATCGAGTCTTAAAGGAGGGCACGCGTGCGTACGCGACAGAGTCAGGTTGCGCCACAGCGAGAGTTAGCTCTGTTTCTATTTGGAAACTCAGCTTCTCGAATTGACGATCCTCGCTCGAAGATTTTCCCCCGCTTTCATTTCTCACCGCCGTAAAAGAGATTCGTGTAAAAAAAGAGCGAAGCTCGCGGTTGCACGGATAATTTTCGTTAATGGATGACGATATACTATTTATATATATATATTACTTTGATCCTCGCTCAATATCGAGCGCTCGACCGGCAGTGACTTAGTTAATCGCGATTAATTACGCTAGCCGACATTTGGTACAACGAGGGGGCCCTTCGTCGCGTACGCACGCATCGTGGACCCGCGATTATTTAAGGCGTGCAACGTTCGCCTGCATATCACTTGCACGATTGTTTTTGCAAATGATGCGCGGAGGATAGGATACCTTAATGCTCCCTTTTATTAACGAACGACTGAAAACTATAAAAGAGCTGAGGCGTGTCCCGAGAGAGGTGTACGAAGGAGTCAGATCTTGTAGGTATATATTAATATCGCCCGTTAACCGCGTATTCTATTGATGAGAGATTCCCTTGTTCCGTCATAAATTTCCAATCGCCTCGATTGTATCCGATTGTGAAACTCGAGTGTAGGATATATTTCTCACGAATATTAAATTATTCATTTAATCTCCCTCTCTCTCTCTCTCTTTCTCTCTCTTTCTTCGACTGTTTCGCGCGGCAATATCTGCGAAGCACGGCGTGATCGCATTTCCCTATTTAATAACTGTACCTGTCTAAAGCGTGTCGTTTAATTAGATCTATTTTCTACGCTCTGTGCCAGCGTCGTGTTTGGCGTTTTACATGATAGATAGAAGGGTCCCGGAATCTCGCGGAAAAAAAAAAACACGCGGCACGTTGCCGTCCGGGACGCCGACCGGGCCGCAAGAGGAGAAAAGCACGTTGGAGATTGCGCGACACTTTAACCTTTTCCAAACAAAAGAGAAAAAAAAAAGAAATATGTAGCCTTAGACTCCCGTTTCTCTCGTTCCTTTTCATGCGAAGCGTCGCCCGGTGGATGTGACGTATCTTCTTGAGAATGGAAAAAAAACCGTACAGAAAAAAAAAATAATAAATACATCGGAAATATGTGCGTATGTGTGTGCTTCCCATCCAATTTTTGCAGATCTGCGAAGAGCCGGATTTCGGTGTTTACGCCACATTTTTCCGTAACGGAGAGGATTCGCAGGACTTGAGAAACTCGTTAGACTTGTCGATAAAAGCGTTACGACGAATTATAAATTGATCGACGTTAATCAATCGGCTATTAAGCGGAAATATATCTAGCGGAAGAAGAGCTTCTTTGCTGAAGGAAGTACGAGAAAACGCCTCTCGATCAAAGTTACTCTCCGTAATTTGCCGAGTATCTTCGCATTACCGTTTCGTAATAGAGAAATTCGGTAAGTAATTATCAAAACGCTCAAAGTAATGCATCCGGGAGCCTTCCAATTTAATGGTAAAGCCTGACGCGTCGAATTCTGTCACGCGACACATCGTTCTCCAGATTTTATTTTACAAAGCGTTCGAGTTTTTCGCAAAAATTCTTAAAAATTTGAGAAACGTGAGAGAGGAGTACCTTATTCAGTTCGTTCGTCACTGCACGCGTTGCTCTAACAATCCACTTGTAAGTTGATTGTTATGTCACAAAACGAAAGAGAGAGAGAGAAAGAGAGAGGATTCAAGGAGATGGTCCTTGGAGCACATCCATCGGGCGACGCCCGTCTCAGCAACGAGAGAGAGAGAGAAAGAGAGAGAGCCGTAATCCGGACTTAACTTCTCTCGCGGCATTCAACGACGATGGAAAAGAAAACTGTACATACACACGTGCGTTTATTATTAATCTACTTACTATTACGAGACCTACTCCTAAGATCTTTTGGCTAAAATACTTTATAGAAGCGAGACTCTGATCGCGCGTGGAGAACGACAAACAAAAAAAAAACAAAGAGCGAGGACTGCATCGCATTACATTGTTTAGCGCCATATAATATTGTGACTCTATCCCCCTTCTTAAGAAAAATAAGCGTATACACATATGTGCATAAGAATACATACACACGCATACGTGTATACGCTTATTATATTTGTTTATATATACATATACATGACACGCGCGTATATAGATGCATCGGTACTATTATTATTATCATTATTATTATGGTTACACGGTTCTTATCATTATTGATATCGTCTTCACTATTATAATTATCATTGTCGTGTGAAGAGAATACGATGAGTAATTATTATAAAAATAAATAAAATGAAATCTTACTTATACATAAATTATAAATACGTCATGATATATTCGATAACGATTAATTACTACGGTATAAAAACACATAATGACATTATTATTACTATTATAAATAACACCCTATTCCCATCTGTTGTGAATGTTTACGTTGTTTTATGATATTTAGAATATTCTAAAAATAAAGTCTATAATTTCCACGAATTCTCTCTATTGTATCACGTGTCGTTAAACACTTCCTGTTTATCGTCAAATACTCCAAAAAAGTAGAATATCAATATTATAATTATAATATTTGTCGCTATAGGGAGTAGTGACGTTAAAAAATAATTTTATGGAATTATTTATATACATATATTTAATATGAAAAAAACCTAATCAAGACCGGGAAAATTTAAACAAGATTATAACATCAAATACGACCTGAAACGAAACCTTAATGCTTTAATAATAATATTTTTGTGTGACTCTTACACTTTCCATGATTTAGGTAAACTGCGCGCCGAATATTTTGTCGGACTTGCGAAGCAGCTCCAAACTGAAACCGGACTATGTATAATATCACAAATTAAACTGACAAACTTAATAATTTTGATGCTAATGAGCATCTTATAAATTTTTATCTTTATTATTCAGAAACGAAACGTACGTGTATGAGAGACTAAATTTGGATTCGCAGATGAGAAAGATTTCGTATAATATGATTACAAGATTTTTTTTGAAAAACTTTCAATAATTAAAGTAACTTCTGAAGTTTTTATTATTGTCGGTTGAATAATCGATTCGGTCAGAATAATCGATTGTTTGGAAAAAAAACTGTTATTCATACATTTTCTAACGAAGCTCAAAATTTAGAAACTGTTTAGAGAGATGTGCTGAAATTAGTAGGATACATTTGACAGATAAACGAAGCTAATAACAGTTTAATAATTATGCTTAATATTACGGAAATTAGAAAAATGATCTATGATGTTATATAAGTAAAATGATAAGATCTCAAATGATCTTGATAACATGATTGATTCTTCTCAAATTCGATGAAAAAGGATTTAAAAGAACAATAAGAAGATTTGAGAGCTGTTTAATTGTGTTGTTTCCATTGAGACGTTCACAATGATTTATCATATTTACAATTATTTACACTTTTATCTATAAAAATACAAACTGCGGTCTATATAAAATTGTGTCGATAAAATTAATGCTTCATACTTATTATCGCGCGACGGCAGCGTGCTGTCGGCACACTGCAAAGCGTCAGTTTACGCGTTTCCGAAAGTATAATTGACTTTCATATTCTACTTTTATCTCACACTCAATGACCTTTTTTTTATCAACACAATGGTTCGAAAAATTCTTGCATTTAAGACGTCGATACCAGGAAACGGACTCGACCGGTGTTGTCCGACGGATCGAAATTCGTCAATTTCATGCGACGCTTATACTTGTGCCGTTGGCAAAGACAAGCGCTAATTATTAGTTTTCTGAAATAGATCAATTTCCGTGTTATATATATTTTATTTTAATGACTCTTTTTTATTGAAACAGCAATTCGAAACGTCTTCCCTTCCTTCTTGCATTTCAGGATGACAAATGTCAAAAACCGACGAATCATCTGACTGATCGAAATCGATCCATGCGACGGCTGTTGTGTCGTCAGCAGACTGCAAAGCGCTAATTATTACGCTCTCTGAAATAGATCGATTTCCGTGTTATTTTTTTATCTTAATGACTTTTTTTTTATTGAAACTGATTCTCGGAACCTTCTTATTTCCTTCTTGCATTCAGGACGACGATGTCGAGAAATGACATGTCCGACGGATCGAAATCCTGCATGCAATAGCTGTTGTGCCATCGGCAAACTGCGAAGTGTTGATTATTCTGAAATTGATCGATTTCTACGTCCTCTGTTTTATTTTAATGACTTTTTTTTTTATTGAAACAGCGATTCGAAACGAATTCCTTCCTTCTTGCATTCAGAACGACAAATGTCAAGGAAGAATCGACGGATCGAAATCCATGCACGATGGCTGTTGTGCCATCGGCAAACTGCGAAATGTCAATTAAATTGCGTCTGAAATAGATCGATTTCTACATCCTGTTTCATCTTAGTAACTTTTTTTTTATCGAAACTTTCACTCTTTTCTGCATTCAGGACAATGACATCAGGAAACGAAGAATTGGCGTTGGGAATCCGACAGGTTCTCGGTACGTCAACGATCTCTCTTTCACTCTTTTTCTCTTTCTCCTTTCTTTCTCTCACTCTCACTCTCTCTCTCTCTCTCTCTCTCTGCCAAGGCGCAAGCACAGCGCAAGGTCTCGCGCGGCCCTCGCGGCGAGGCGATAAATAGAATAGAAGCGACGCGAGCGCGAAGCGCGGCGAGGTTCACCACGTCACGTCACGTCTCGCCTCGGCACTCGCGGAAGTCACGGTGAGCGCGAACGCGATCGGTCCACGTCGAGAATCCGCTTCGACGAGGCCGAAAATCGCCCCCCTGGGGAAGATCGGCGTGCGTGCGCGCCGACGACCGAATATGTGAGCGTTATCTGGTCAGAAGTCAGTGCGTCGTCGTCGGTCATCGGTGGGATCGGTAGAGAGAGAAAGAGAGAAAGAGAGAGAGAGAGAGAGATTCGCGTGTGCCATCGTCGTTCCTAGACTAGAACGGCGCCGTATTCCCTCGTGTGTGCGCGCTCCTCGGCTCTTCGATCTACGGCCTCGGCGAGGGGAGAGAAAGGTGCCCCCGGGGGGAGTCGCCGAAGATGTCATTCGAGGGGAAGTACAACGCCAAGAGCCCGGGTGAGTCGGGGTTTTGGGATTGCGCCGGTCGAAACGCTTTTGTTTTGGCCCGACAGTTGTTCGGGCCGCCCCGCGCGGAACTCTTTGACATATTTCCACGAGGCCCGTCGCACCCGTTGGGCAGCCAGCGGGGTTGTCTTGTCAGCTAGCCAATTCCCGACACGCGCCGAGGTATCTCGTGTGTGTCGCTTCCCCGACGGTCCGTAGACCGTATCTATGCGCGATTATCCCGTGGTGACGTGACAGGATACCTTATGTATCGCGTTTGTAGCGCGTTGATACATGCTTGACACATGCCTGCTTGGTGCTTATCCGCTGACAGAAATTTGTCGAGTAACGTAAATAATATCTTTGCGGTGCATCGCGACCGTTGTCTCATTAAATGTATGTGTCTTAGCGGTGAAGAGGTTAATGAGGGAGGCGCAAGAGCTGCACGAAGCCACCGAGGAGTACTACGCGTCTCCTCTGGAGGACAATCTGTTCGAGTGGCATTTCACGGTGCAGGGACCGCCGTCGACGGACTTCGAGGGTGGTGTTTACCATGGGAGAATCTTGCTGCCGCCGGAGTACCCCATGAAGCCGCCAAATATCATCCTGTTGACAGTAAGTGTATATCCGAAACGAGTTAACTTATAAGTAAAATATGTATATGTTGTTTTATGTTGTTGTCATACACATGTTTTTTTTTCTCTTTCATTCAGCCAAACGGACGTTTTGAAATAAACAAGAAGATATGCCTGAGTATCTCTGGTCATCATCCCGAAACGTGGCAGCCGTCGTGGAGTATCAGAACGGCATTGCTGGCTCTGATAGCCTTTATGCCTACACCCGGAAGCGGCACGATCGGAGCATTGGATTACAGCACTGAGGAACGACAGAAGCTCGCTAAAAAGTATATATAGAAGTATATCCCGTGAATTCACAATAGGTCTGTTCTTGGTAGTTGAATTAGTGTACACTCATACTTAAAAAATAAGACAGACATAAATGTAAAGTTTGACGAAAGTGAGAAAGAAATTTTAGTGCAGTCCAGTGCAGCAATAAAGAACAGGCCTAATATTGCGAAAAATTGTCACGCACTCTTGTAATCGATCCTTGCACTCCAAAACTGGCACTAAACACAATAGGTCTGTTCTTGATAGTTGAATTAGTGTACACTTGTACTTAAAATGAAATAGATATAAATTTAAAGTTTAATGAAAGTGAGAAAGAAAATTTTGGTGCAGTCCAGCAATAAAGAACAGGCCTAATACTGCAAAAAATTGTCACGCACTCTTGTAATCGATCCTTGCATTCCAGATCGCTGAACTGGCAGTGTGATACGTGCGGCAAAGTTGTAAACTTGTTGTCGAAGAACTCGGTCAAGAAACCCATCACTGAGGAGGAGCAAACCATGCTAAAAACAATCGCTCTTAAAGTAAGCAGTTATGTCTCAAATATGTTTTTAAATGTGTATCCATTATAATGTACACAGTTGAATATGTTTAACTATTACACAATTAGGCATATATATATATATATATATATATACCTATATATATAGATATATATGTATATATGTACATGAATGATTATCATGTTATTACAAAAGCAGTAGATTAAAACGTCGCATTTTGCAAGAATTTAATCGACATTATAAAAAATTTATAGGCCGATGACTCACCTACGTCAGACGTGTTATTTACGGATAATACGGGAAATAACGTGTCCGAGAACGAGATACGGCACCGTAACGTCGAAACGATCCCGGCAGAAAATGCAGAACGTCAACAGCCTGAAATTATCTTGAATCGCGTGGAGACAATGTCCTCTTCGAACGATTTATTTTGGAGTATTCTCATCGCTTCTTTAGTATCCGCAATTATTTTGTTAATCCTACGACGATTATTTCTTGTTTAACTTATTAGGCTCTTCGCGAAATACAGGAATACACGTCATGAAAACAGTAAATTTTATACGCGTTACAGTTGTATTCATATTATCATGTGAATATCGCGAACCATCTGATTTTTTTCCACGAAAATATATGTAATACATGACGAAAGTATATGCATTAGTATATATTAGTACATATCCATATTGTTCGTATAAACAACATTCGTCTTATACATCCCGGATATTTTCATTTCGTTGCAAAAAAATAAGTTAAATAAATTTCCAATTTGATTGTTAATTTACACGTACTAGTCGCTTGTGCTTTCGTTTGAAGATATAGTATTGAAAATAAATCACTTGTCCAACGTTTTTATATACATTTTATTTTAGTATATTAAATGACATTGGTATTAAAATTGTATGTAGACTTTATCGTTTCTTAGGTATAATTAATAAATTTTGTTTATTTTGATAATAATTATTATTTTCAAATATTTTTTGTGTTTTGTCCATATAAATTCTTTCTATATACTCATAAAATTGTTATGTTTACCAGTAAATTGCATTATGTAATATATAGCCTAATACGATACTATTTTGTAATAAATATAAGCTATACAAATATGTCTGTGTAACTCTATAGCTTTCATACACTTTTCATATATGTATAGCCACTGTAATAAAATTTTAATGTGTAATATAAGAGCTGTTAGAGGAAGAGGATTTAGAGAGCAGGACTTTATCTAAATTCATTTTTTGTATGTACATAGAAATATAATAAATTAATTATTTATTAAAGCATATATAAACATATTCTTAACATTCATTACATTCCACTGGTGTGTGGCGCGACGTTCCGCAATCCCACACACCACACTCGTTTTTACATATTCATTGAATTGATATCTCTTTACGCTTTTGGTTGTGATATGATACTTTTTCTTCGAGAGTGCTTACTTCTAACATTCAAATATAAAAAAAAAAGTATTTCTTAAACTTGTATGAGGCATATTTAGATCGTTTGTAACGGCATAATAGAAGCGTATTAAGATGTTACTAAATGAAATATAAGTAACGCAGTCTCATAAACTATAGGAAACTTCATAATCTTTTATTATCTATGTTAAGGCATTCTACATCTCATCATTTACAGTAACAACTTCATCTTTATACATGCTTCTCATTACGATAAAATAATTCCTATCGGAAACTTTCTCCTTTTGTACATTTGCTATTCTTCCTAAATTATACGATCTGTTGCTGTGTGTATGTACTTAATATTGTGTACCTCTCAGATACTAAATCTCAGATTTAGAGCTAATACCAATAGCTTGAAAATCACATAAAAAATAATATGATCTAATGGACTCTCTTATGTACTCTTCTGTATACATCTTGTATTTGCATTATTTATAAACGATTGTTGTTTTAATATACAATATTACTTCATGTTTTACATTCAAAACAAATCATTTGAGTGCACGTACGTTAAGAGTTTGAAGTACAGAAGTAAAGTATGGCACAAGATTTTATTTTGTAGAAAATAATTTATTGTCGTACGGAAGTTGCGTGAGGTAAAAGCGAAACTAAAGCTTTATATTTATATCGCTAAAGTTTACGATAAAATTTTAATATCCCATTTTAACAAGCAAATGCCTTATCTAAAAATTGAAAACAAAAATATATTTTTTTATTTGTGTAGACAATTGTTGTACGTATGTACATACATGTTGCAAATAATTTCTAATTGCTTTTGACAGCTTGATGTTAATTCCTTTCTGTGCTACAGATTATTATAAGACTCTACATAATGTAGATATCTGCAATTCTGTATTGGACATGTTCTAAATTGTACAGTACACATTTTTGAAACGATATAAACGTGATTATATTGTTTCAAGAATAGTAATATCGAAATAATGTAATCTCCTTGCATAGAGTGTAGAGCGTTCGTTTAAACTCCACCGTGAATATCTTTATGATACAAAAATACAAACAATATCCCGTCAATTACAATTGGATCGTTTATCAGCTGGTATCAGCGTTAGTCCATTCACCCGTCTCTTTCAGAGCTCTATCCGTTAATCTCTCTATCTCAGTTAGAAGTTGCTCAGTCTCCATATCGACACATACCATATCCGGTTCCACTGGGTCCCATTCTAAGCTATTTGGAGTCGAGACTCTGGACCAAGGAGATGCTGTCAGACTGGAGGGCTGGCTGTTATCAGGTGACGTCTGTGTCAGAGAATACTCTGCATCTCCCTTCTCGTCCACGACTGGTGTCGGCATCCCTACGCGAGTACAATTTGTTTGTGTATCGTGAGATTTGTGAAAAAAATAATGGCCCTTCGTTCAGCGGAAAAAGCGGTTTTGCAATTGTTGCAAAATTCCTTAATATGATTGGTTTATTACATTTAGATCCATGAAGAATTAAGGGCAAGAACCAATCATGCTGAAGAGTCTCAATCACAACAGTTGCAAAGCTGCTTTCTCTGCTGAACGCAGCCGATGAATAAAAAAATAATAATAAAAATGACAGATTACCTTCGTGTTCCCATTCAAGGTCCAGCGATGATCCCGGAGTGGACGAAACGTAAACCTGTTGTCGTATCAGCGATCTTGCGTCAAGAACTTGAAGCGACATATCCAGGCCAGAACTGAAAATAATTGTATGATCATTTTAGTATGTCTTTCACAGGCGCAATTCCAGAAATGTTATCGGAGTCAAGTAGAGTTAAGAGTAGTAATGTAATCTACCTCGTAGAAACGTCGTTTCTGGAACTCAATCTGGCATACTTGTTGCCACCTCGCGACCATCTTCCATCTTCCAGTAATTCCAGAGTTATCGGGACTCCACGTTTTCTCTACGATTCACAAACACATGTAAAATTTCATAATGTAAATCAAGACACTTTCCGCGAGGAAAACGCAATAGCTTTATACATCGACTGTAATGTTTTTATCCTTCGTATACTAAATGAGGCATAAGCTATACATTTACCTTGAACCGTTTTAAAGATAGGAACGATAAGAGACTACATCCAGTACGCATGGCAGATAAAACGCAAAATTAATATCACAAAATCTAAGTTCGAATTGTAAATCAGAAATTGGACTTTTGTACCTTTTTGATCCTCTAGCTTGGTCCTCGTGCCCCTGGACGTCCATGAACTAAACATAAGACAGCAGAGTTATTTCTGCTAGCAAAAAGCACAGGGTGGAAACATTTTCTCTAAACGCTATGTACCTCGTCTTGCTCTTCTTCTTGGAAAGACATTCTGGTATGCCTTTGATAGAACCTGAACAAACAACGGGAAACCGTTGGAACAGTAAAATACGCTACGCTTTGTATCTAATAAGCTTAAATCTTAACTCCATAATGTACAGTCATGGGCACATCGGTTGCAACACTTTCTTTTTTATAGGTTTCAAAACGCACTAATATTTTGCAAATGCGGACCACGATTGGTGTTATTCTGTCTCTAGACTAAAGATAGTACACCATATGTTTGCATTTGCAAAATATTAGTTATCTATAAAGTATATACATATATTATGTATATTAAATATATATTAGAAACCTATAAAAAAAAGTGTCGCAACCGATGTGTCCACGACTGTACATACTAGGAAGACTCTCAATTGGAAGTAAAAAAAAAAAACATCATTAAAGCATAGAATTCAATACGTTTCTCGTAATTTTATTCACTCGTAGCATGTAACTTTAGTCGTATATTGATAAAATTATAAAATCATGACTCATATGAGTAAATATTGAAGAGGATAGCCTTTAACCGCGCAAAACAAGATTTGCATTTCACTTATGCAAAACAAGTCTTGCATTTTAATGCTCTTAAGAAAGATCTTTTGAATATTCAATGACTTCCTGCCAGATATACCCCCCGGGCGGTCGACGTGCGATTTCAATCGGACTCGGTCCAATTCTAACCTGTACGGCACGGAATCTGTGACTTTGGTTAAACAGCGGCCGAGACAGGCCCCCATGACCTGCCAGCCCACGGCGTCGCGCCGTCATCTAATTGCTATCGGTGTCCGGATGCCAGCGTTTCGGATGCCAACTCCACGTGTCACGCGACGACGGGAACGACGGCGTTCTTCCACCAGGAATTGCCCGGTGCCGTTGGTGTCTCGATCGGCCACGATCGTTCATCGTTTCCGCGCCATGGACGAACGTAAATTAAAGCGCTCGATCAGCTGTTACCCGCGCGGAATTAGAAACAAACGTAGGGAAGAAACATGGAGTACGCTGCGAATATTGTTAATAAATGCATCGAATATTGTTTGCGAGAAACGCGCGAAATTTGACATTCCACCTTTGAGAAAAGTACGTATTAAGGGAGATTTATTATTGCCACACTTTCGCAATACTAATTAATTGTCCTCGCACTGCGAGAGTATAACTGTCGTCCCGGAAAAAAAAATACCACATATAATTATATATAATTATATGCAAAGTATGTCCATATATGTTTCTTTCCTTTGTAAAATTATTCTTTGTTATAGAGAATAATTTTGCATTTATTGTATTCTATAAGAGATAAGTTAGTTGCAAAATCTTTTGTCTTTTATATTTCTTTTATTCTTTTCTCCTGGGTTACGTATGTTGTTTATTAAAGAAACTCACTCACTCTTGTAACAATCTTGTCACTGAGGACATGTAAAACCTTTGCGTTTAATAAAGTTCGCTTATAATTATTACACAGCAAATCTGTGGCTTAAATTAATTTTATCATTCTTTAATACAAAATTGATAATAATAAGAAAGAAACATAAAAAATAATTGAAAGAATAATTTTTATATTGTTTTTTTTTCTACAAAAAGTAGTTTGAAAAAATGAGAAAAATTGCTCATATATAATTATATATAAGTGATTAAAAATATACATATATAATTATATATATGGACAATTTTTTTCATTTCTTCAAGGTTGATTTTTTGTAAAAAAAAAAACAATGTAAAAATTATTTTTTTAATTATCTTTTATGTTTTCTTCTTATTATTATCAATTTTGTATTAAAGAATAATTTTATAAAGGAAACAAACATATATGGACATATTTTGCATATAATTATATATAATTATATATAATTATATAAGTTATATAAGTATAATTATACGTGGAACTTTTTTTCCCGGGATGGAAATCATACGTTGTGACACAACTGTCAAGCAGGATATTTCCGTGTATTACACTGCTTAGTAAAAACGTTTGTATATAAAAAAATAATCTTTTAATTTTATAGCATAAGTGTCACGCATGATTTTAAATTTATTTCTGTACATGACATAAAGAAAGATTATAATTGCAGTTAAGAAAAATTTACAATTTGCAATATATGTATATAAATATTTAAATAGTCAAGGCTTGATAATTAAAAATAAAATTAATACAGATAGTGGGCTGTGAGCCAAAGGTTGGTTGTTATTTTACTGCAATATTTAACAAATTTTTAATAATATAAACATGAATTAATAATAATAATGACGTGTTATTTATATTATTAAGAATTAAATATCGGAGCGAAATAACAGCCAAACTTTTGGCTTATAGCCCATTATCTGTATTGATTTTATTTGCAATATATATTTTTTTTAAACAATTATACAGGATGTTAATGCATCAACATATTAAGTAGTATGACTGGTTGTGTGACAAAAATCCGAACGTTACCCAAGTCCGTCATATTTGAAACGCAAATTTTATTAAGGTATAAAGGCGATCAGTAAGTTGTAATGATATACGTTTACGCCGTTATTTATCATCTACTTGAGGCGCGCCTGTCTCTGCAAAGTCTGCCACGCAACTTGTTATACTACCTAATTATATGTTAAGTAATACAACACTCTGTATATTCATTTGTATCAATTACTTTTATATTGATCAGCATGTATTTAATACATTGACATCCGTGGCGATCGTAGCGCAGATAATTATAACGTCTGGTTTCTATGTCGAGAATTTATAAGTTCAAATCTGATCAGAAACATCAGATTTTTATTATGCAATTGCAAGCCAACAAGAGTATATCTTGCTATGAAAATCCCTCTAATTAGGCCGTTCAGAATTAGCGTTAAAACTGTTGAAATTATTATCACGATAATTATTCTTATTGATGCAGAGCTAAAAAAAACGTTATTGATGAGGAAGAGGAAATATAGGAAATGAATTTTACGAAAATGACAAACTTCAATTCAAAATTAGCGTAAAATTTGTTTCTTATATTTCTCCTCTTCATCAGTAACATTGTTTTCTTTTTATAAGTAAAGTTAGATTTATGTCATAGTGCTTCGAAACTACACGTGCAGCAGTAAATCATTCTGTAAAGAGCTAAAATTATTTAGCTCTGCACCGGTAGAAGAATTATCGCGATAATGATTATTACATTGCTATCGCATTTGTATCAGATTTATGTTACATCAGTTTTAACTCCTAGCGAAATATAATTTTACATAAGAATAATTTTAGAATAATGCTAATCGTTTTCGGACGAAGCGGGTTTGATCGCTCCGGTAGCGATTAATGACGTCACAAGCTCTTCTTCAAGCAGAAATCTAAAATAGAGCATGTGACGTCATTAATCTCTCTCGGAGCGATTAAATCCGCTCCGTCCGAAAACGCTATAAGTATATTGGATTATCCCTTACGAAAAAGACGCACGGGCTAGGGATTGTAATTCATGTAGTTATTGTAATCTCTCATGAAAATATTACATTCGACGGACCACACGCATGTAGTTATTACAATACGAATATTATGGTGGCCAACTTATTGCAGTAGACACATTTCAAGGCATTAATATTTGTATGTGGTTATTGTAATATTTTCCTGTAGTTATTGTAGTATTTGGATTAGACGAATTACAATCCCTAGCCGGTGCATCTTTTTCGTAAGGGATTGACTTTTGTATTCATTACATAAGAATTCGTTGACAACATAACGTCAACATGTCATAAACAATATTTAAATGACATTAATCATTTTTAATTTTTCTAATATTTCTAGCACATAGTGTGAGGAATATATTAAGTAGGTTGTTATAATAATTTCAAATTATGTGGAAAAGCTTTATTTCTATTTTTATTCATGCAGCTATCTCATAGCACTTTTAGATGATATGCTGCACATTCTTTCGTTATCTTTTTATTATCTATAAGATATAATTAATTATGTATAATTATATGATTACTGGCATTTATATAAATCGTTAAAAGTTTCTATCTCTGCAAAATAATTTCATGAAAGCAAAATTATATTTGTGATTTAAGACAGTTCATTTTTCAAACAGACATATATTTAGAAGTGTTATGCTTTTATAAATTAACTTACCTTGCATATTTGAAATATTCTATTAAGATATAATTTTGTGTAACGAATTAAATTGTTTTACTAATTACTGCAAAACACGAGATTTTACTGAAAATATACTTTCGTGATTGCGATCTTGCTCTTTTCCAGAGATTGTTACTAATTATGTTATCTGTAACAGATGTTATAATAAGTATGAAATATTTTTAAGTAAACACCTCTTTGTCTTGACTACAGCTGATATAAATTATAAACTTAATTGGTTCGCGAGATTTTGTCGTCTCTTCTTATTTAAGTAATAACAGTTTCTTTCGATAAAATACTTATTATCAATTATGCGTAAATTAACAATAATATTGTTAGCAATAATGGAAATATAAATATAAAATGTAAAGACTTCTTTTTATTCTAGGACCGATATTTTGGCATTTTTTTATTATAGGTATTACAAAAAATAAAAAAATGTTATTAGAAAAAAAAAAGTATTATTGCGTTCCCCCAAGTCATTAAATATAATTAAAAGAAATCTTATGTTTTAGCATATGTAATCTTTATATCGGTGTTAATAAATGGAGCGACCATTGACTATCGCTTTTAGCACTTTGCGTTGTATGACATTTAAACTCGCCAATTTTAGGCACTAACTTTAGACGCTTGTAATTAAAGAATTAAAATTCTAAAAATTATTGTAATCTTAGAATTTTAATTAACAACATTTATTTGTTAATTAAGTTCTCCTGATTATCCGTTCTGGATAAAGTGAAAATAGATAGAATATTTTTATTATACTAAAATAGAGCCAAGTTTCCTATTGTAATAAAACAATTTATTAAAAAATATATCAAATTATTACATTAATATAAATATATTATAATCGTAGTACAAATATAAAGTACAATATATTAATATGTTAATATATTTAATACCGTGTACACAACACACAATATTAAACGTAGAATTAAATGCAGAATTGATCAAATTTCTTGAAGTTTTTGAAGAAACACAATTTTGCATTAATAAAATGCAAATCTTGTTCTGCACACACATACACCCACGTATAAGTCTACAAAAAATGTAGACTTACAATTTCTATTTATTATGCTAATAGTAAGAAACTGGCATTACAGATTATTTCAAAATTTTTATTAGAATGTATTGTGGCTAACAATCAGTCAAATAAATTTACTAATTTACAGAATTTACAGCAATTAAGTGGATATTATATTAAAATATACAGGAAAGATACAGAAAATTGCTTTGGTATACCTATGTTGAGTCTGTTATATTTCACTGTAATGTATTAATTGCACATTTCACTGAGGAACGCTGTCTATAAACTGAAATGCCTGTCTCATTTAGTTGTCGCAATACCTCAGTACTTCGTCTCGCCATTCGTTGTCTTTTCCACGTTGCTATAACAATGCGTCATTATCGATGCCCCGCCGATAAACTTCACGATGAAACTTCGTGGCGACGTGACGTTTTTGCGTTATTATATTTTTTTACGTTATTATAATTACGTTATAATTTCCTTAACAATTAAGTTTCGCAAAAAATCCAAACTGAAAAAAGAGTGACCGTGAGTACGATGTCGAAGAAACGAAGTGAATTAATAATGAAATAGGCAATAAAGAATATGAAGAATGTTTCATGAATAAAAAATATAAGGATTATTTCATTTGTTTAGGAATTCATAAGCTTGCCGATTAGCAATGGGCGATGCGATATGATACGGCAAATGCGCGTAACGACATCTTTGCGATATTTATGTGAGATCCTGCACTTTGCATTTTAAATTTATTACGAAAGTTTCGACGAGCATTCGTAATTGTCATCCTTTCCGAAGAGTAAGGGTAATTGATTAAAAAAGAAAAAATACATGTCAGTTTTCATGCAGTATCGGACATGGATAGTTCTAAATATGACGGATATGCAGGTTGATTATTTTTGTGAAATTGCATTTTGATTTACAGATACATAAATCGTATAAATGTCAAATTTGTGATGCTTTCAATTATGTCACACTTATCGACAAAAACGAGATAAAACGTGACCAAAGATTTTTTTTATTTTTAACTGTCTATTATATGTTTAAAATATTATATGTGAATTCAAAGATGTGTAATGCAAACCACAGAGTGCAACTGGGTGAAAAAGCACGTTCTGTAAAGTGAATATACATATAAGATCACAGATTCATGCAATTTGCATGACACAATTCGTTACAATTTAGAAAGCATGGAAAAAGTGTGATTTTAATATATAATGAAAAAAATAATGAATTTAATTTGTAACAGTGTTAAGTAGTAGTTATATTTACAAATCTTTATTAAAGATATAATACATGTATTATATGTAACGTCTCTCGGTTAATTATATACAGATTTAGAATGGGCCATCGGAATAAATCGCTTTACCTTGCAAATGATCGGTCTGTGGCCTGACGGGAAATTAAGCAGTCAACAGAAATTTTGGGCGAACGTACGGGCTTTCATTATTTTCACTATGTTGGTCACCGTGTTTGTCATACCCTCGTTATTTTCGCTGATAAGAATCTGGAATGACATGGAAGCATTAATAGACAACCTACAAATTATGTTACCTGTGATTGCGGTTATCATAAAAATCATCATTATGTGGCTTCGAAAAGAAGGTAGAGATCAATTATTTATCGTATCAATGTTAAAATAGTTAAATCCGATTTAAGCTTTCATTTGAGGAAATTTAAAGTTCTGATTTGTATTTTTATTCTTACAATTAGTCAATATTGGCTATATTTATTTTGTCGTTCAATTTTTTATGATAATTCAGATCTCGGCTAAGAAAGATTTTGAAGAATGGAACAACAAATGTCATTAAATCGTGCAGATAACAAATTTTCAATATACCTTTTACTATTTCTGTTATGTCGCTATCGTGATACCTGTTTTAACACCGTATAAATCACATCTCCGATAAATATAATATAATTACATCTCCGATTTACGACAATCTGATTTTGTTGCCAATACATTCTAATAATATTATATATCTCCGATCTATAACAATCTAATTTTGCGCCAACGTTTTTGCTCCTGTTAAAAGACCTCATATCGGTCGTGAGCATGATCGTGGCAGATTGGACCAAAGTGAAGACGAAGGAGGAACGCGATACCATGATAAAGCAGGCGAGGATCGCGCGATGGTTCGGCGTGTTCGGATGCTTCCTGATGGTAGAAGCGATAATCATCACTGTCGTCCTGCCGTGTTTCGGCTACTCCATGAGATACCTGACGAACATCACGGATCCGGGGAAGCCGTTACTGCTGCAAACGTATTACTTTCGCGACATGACGCAGAGCCCGTACTTCGAAATCGCCTTCGTCGCGCAGGCTCTGGTCATCATAATGGCTGCGTTCTCCTACACCGGCATCGACAATTTTATGGGTCTGGTGGTTTTTCACATATGCGCTCAAATGGAAATTCTCAAAGCGCGATTGCTCAAGCTGAAAGAATGTCAAGACTTCAATGTTGGACTGTCGACGAGCGTCCAGAATCACATACGTCTTATCAGGTTGCAAATCGGGTTTTCTTAACTACGAATTGCCATCGACGTAGATCTGTTAATCTTAGAGCACGCTCAAAGCTTCAAAGATGCGGATTCTCACATAAAGATTGCAAAGATATCGTTACAAGCGGTTGCATATCGTACAGCCCGTTGCAATTAATTTAATCGCAAGTTTATCAGTTGAATGAAATGATCCTTGTATTCCTCTTTTTTTTTTAATTATGACAAGAGAAGAAATCGAGTCATCCAAATCTAACGCTAACGAGTTCGCGTTTTATCAATTAAATTGATATTTTTGCGTTGTAAAAAAGCAAGTAATTTTTTTCGATATAAATAGTCTGTTGAAAATGAATACAACCACGAAAAAAATTTATAAATAAGATTAAATAAGATTAAAGCTTTACAATGAAAAAACATCCCGCACAATAGAATGAGTTCTGATCTGGTCAAAGGCACGAAATTTATAAAAAATGATTATATAATCAGAATCTCTCTTTCTCTCTGACTCTCTCTCGAATGATTTATATCTTACGAGACATTATATAACTTTATAGGGCCATCGATATCGTCGATAATACATTCAACTTAATGCTCTTGGCATTATTAGTATACTTCTCAATATTATTTTGTCTCCAAGGCTTTCTGCTAATTAGCGTAAGTCACAAAACGAATCTTATTACTTTGATAAGTAAAATCGAGTCAAATCAAAATATCTAAGTACATATAATAAGATATCAGAGATTCGACGTATTACTTTGAAAAAATAACGCCTCTAATTTGTATTTTATAACGGTAAATACGGTAAAGTAAGAAAAGGAATGTAATCGTATTACTTTAGAAATATAATCGAATTACGTATTACTTTGAAAAATTAACTTCTCCAATTTGTATTTTATAACGGTAAATATGAAGTAAACAAAGGGAAATATAATCACACAAATGAATGTTAATATATTTGTAGATCATCGATGACGGTGGCAATGTCTCCTTCGCGCGAATATGTTGGCTCATATCGGTAACCGTTAATACGTTCGTTCATATGTTACTTTACTGCGTGATCGATGAAAATCTTATTTCAAAAGTGAGCATTATTTCTTTTCATTGTATTTTATTATTCTACCTTGTTGTATCATAAATCACTAGTACATATTAAAATTGGTTATGAATACAGTGCAAAATACGAGGTTCTTTGTGTACGTATGAATGTGCGTGCATATATATTAATTAAATTATTTTTTGAGCAATAATATTAGCTTTCGATTCTACTGCAATTTTTTAGCGCATTAATTAACGCACAATGACAACAGCGAGCATTTTATCTTTATTGTATGTGAGAGATTTTGACATAAATTCTTATTTAATAATGTGTAATGCAGTGTGAAGGCATATATCATGCGGTGTATGACTTCGCTTGGTATTCGTTGAAACCGTATGAGGCCAGAAATCTGATGCTAATAATGATTCGTGCTAACAAACCTCTTTATATCACCGCGGGGAAAATATTTCCAATGACGTTATCCATGTTCTGCAGCGTAAGATAGCCTCTACTATTGTTTTAGCTAAAAATGTTATATAAATATAATGTTATATAAATATAATACGGAATATTGGATCGCATTATTTAAATTATGATTATTACAATACCACTCATTTTTACTACTGTAATTCAATCCTTTTATACTTTTATTTTCAGTTGATCAAAACGTCAGCCGGATATGTATCGGTATTGCTCGCCAATCGATGATATTTCGACATTGACCAGGGCAATCTTCGGAGATCGAGGATCTCATCATCAAAATCATTTTCGCGATGCAATGAAAAGGTATGTCAAGCTCAATTGGTGCGCCAATCGAATTCGTTTTTTTTTTCACTAAAGAAATAGAATTGCTGATTTTAATGAGAGTAACACCTCAAGAAGAAACTTTCATATGTATAATAAACCATAATAAATAATCATGTTCGTATTAAAAATGCTGTAATCATTATTAGTAGTATATATTTGTCAAATGTATCCTAGTTGATTCGAAATTTTGGAAAATGTTAAAAAAATATTTATTAAAATACGTAACACTATTAAAATTAATATAACGTTATGTCCATTATCTTTTATAATATATGTATTAATTTCCCTTTAAATTTGTACTTTAGTCCCGACGCGCGAACTTGTTAATTTTTATTTTGACGTATAATGCAATAGCACACTATATTTCAAACAATATTGCTAATGAATTAACGTTACTTCTTACATGCTTCCACATCAATAATTGTTAGCTAAATGTAAATGTGAAACACAATTTTTCTTATTTTTCATTGCACTATGTTAACCAGCACGTTTTTTACTTGACGTATGTTCATTCTACTTTATTAACTCCCGTGACGATTAGTCTACTTCGCGCTGCTGTCTCTCGGTCTTTTCACGCTGCTACAAAACACATATCGTCCGACGCATCGCGTCGCGCAGCTACGTGGCGACGCATTAATTTTTTGTGTTTTAAGGATCGTTCAACGAAAAAACGTCGGTTTGAGCTTTAGAAAATGCAAATTGTTGAAAAAAAGCGAGTTTTCGAAGGCAGAAAAGAAATGGCAGGATAAATTAGTAATGAGCGTCTTAGGAACATCGAAGGGCGTTGCACCCGTTTTAGATATTCATAGACTATTCAACGATGCCGCAGGAGGGCCACACGAATTCGTTTCTTCGAATGAGAAATTGCGTCCCCGCCGTAAAAAAGACGTGGTGGACATTAATATCTGAAACATTTACGAGGTGTCCGTACTTTGCACCTGACCACCTGCATTTCAGAACTTTTTCCGTGAGCATGCGTAATTGCACGTGCCCCCTGAGAAGCAAGGAAGAATGTTGAATTCATAAAAAAATGCCAGTCTCCGTTTAGTCTTGGACATGGACAGCTCTAAAGAAATAGCATACGCAGGTGTATAAATTTTTATATAATATATGTATATCGTTAAATCGCTAAGTTTCATTGAACATGTAATGAGCAAAACCGTTTGTGACACTGACGTGAATTTATAATTTATATATTTTTATTAGAATATTCGAGAATTCGCAAGAGTTTACGGTATGAACTGTCTTATTATTCGGTGATACAAGATGCCGTTTTCATTAATAGAATAGAATTTGGCAGATTTTGTTGAAAACATTGAGCGAAAATTATTTTCACGCGAAACATATTTCAATGTTCATTTGAGAAATTTATCACGAACCATCATGAATTTTTGCGTCTTTTCTCAATATTATTAGCTAATTAATTATTTCAAAAAATAATACCATTATAAAAATTTTGATTATTAATTCAATTTTGCTTGTGTTACTAGTTAGAGATTTATTTATCATTTCATATCTGTCGATTTAATCAGTAACAGCATGGTAATTATGTAGACTTAGACTGGGCGATCGGAATAAATCGGATTTCTCTGAAGATCATCGGCCTCTGGCCAAACGAGAAGTACAATCGTTGGCAAAGACTTGTGTCTAATCTACGCGCCATCATTATTTTTTTCACCATGTTTTGCGTAGCGGTAGTACCCGGAATAATAGCGTTACTGAGGATCTGGGGTGACATGTTGGCGATGGCAGACAATATGCAAATCGGTCTTCCCTTCTCAGTGAGCGTCATGAAATTTATGATCATGTGGTTCCGCAAGAAAGGTACATCTCTCTACACTAATATACATATAATACCGTTTACTGTGTAATATTTCACTTCTCAAAGCGTCAATTCGATCCGTATACTTTCGCATTCTTCTCCAAAGATCTTGAACCGGTCATAAATATGATCGCGGAGGATTGGCTCAGGACGAAAACTGCGCAAGAACGAAATATTATGATAAAACAGGCGAGATATGCCAGAATAATGGTCATATTCGGATGTATCATGATGAGCTTCGCGTGCATCGTTCTCATCATTCCTCCTTGCTTCGGATACACGATGAGATATCTAACAAATCTGACAGACCCGGGGAGACCGATGCTGGTGCAAACGTATTATTTACGTGACATAACGGAGACCCCATACTACGAAATCTTGATCGCCGCCCAGGCTACGGCGATCTTAATGGCCGCGATTTCTTACACGGGTCTCGACACCTTTCTGTGCTTGCTTGTATTCCACATATGCGCCCAATTGGAGATTCTCAAGAATCGAATGCTCAATTTGGACAGCTTCAAAAACTTCAGCGCCGGATTGTCCTTCATTATCCAGGATCACCTACGTCTCATTAGGTTGTATTAAACTCGATTTATAATTTACGTACTTTTTCACTACAGTGTCATTTTTGTTCCAAACAATATTGTATAAGAGAAGACAAAAAAGGTATAACAATTTGGTTGAAGTTTAATGAACTGATGAAATGAATTAACTGATAAAGCATATCGTGCATGTTCGAAGAAAGTTCGAATACATTCATCTTCGAAACAATTCGATTATTACATATATATGCTACCATCAAAATCCATATTCCATTAAAATCCGAATTCACTAGAATGGTTGATTAGACGTAAAATCGAAAACCTATGTGGACAGTACAATTATAGACCTCGTTTCACCCCGCAAACAGGAGAGAGGGCGGAGTTGGATCTCGCTACGTAGAAAATTGAAAACTCATGTGAAACAGTATAATTGTAGACCTCATTTCAACTAAATTTAAAACTAGTTTTAACTAGTGAAATCGCGGTTTTAACGATTGTGGATTTTGACGGTAACATATATATTATTACATATATACCATATGTTATTTATAATACGATAATTACGAGATTATTGTTACACATGTTAGATATAATGCGATAATAATTACTACACTGTATAATATATATAAACTTGTGATAAGTTTGCATAATATTACGATATTTTAATTTGCATCGCTTTAACTTTTTATGTCAAACAAATACGTCGTTTTCGTAATGCATACAGTAATATGCTTTCAAAGACTTTTTATGTAATCGGAATTACTCGACGTTACAGTATACGATTTTTTAAATCGTAGGTCTGTTGATGTTATCGACAACACATTCAATTTGATGCTTCTGACACTATTAGTGTATTTCGCTATGTTATTTTGCCTGCAAGGATTTCTGATAGTTGCCGTAAGTTGGTGAACGAAAGAAAAGAGAGTTATCCCTTTTTGAAATAATATTTTTCGATACGAAGCGGACGAATGATCTTAATCGCGATCTCACAATTCCCCGTGCGAAACATATACACATGTCCCAACGGAAAAGAAAATAATTGTAAGATATTAGAATGAACTTTTAAAACAAGAACGTCGATAGAAAAATATGTTAACCTGTCTAGATGATTGATGGAAGCAGCGATGTTTCCTTTATGCGAGTATGTTGGCTCGTTTCGATTCTTATTAACACATTCGCTCACATGTGTCTGTACTGCGTGGTCGGGGAGATTCTTATAGCCAGAGTAAGTGCTTATCATTAGTACAAATAGATAGTATTACAAAACTAGTGCAATAAATAATATTACAAAGTTGCAGTGCTCCTTTTGTTAAATTGAAAGAGCAGATATTTTTTAGAGATCACGATCTATTTTGACACTTTACGCAAAAATCGCTTCTGAATTCGTCGCTTCTGTTAGTAGTGGAATTAATCCCTAATAAAAAAGAACTACTAGTGCAGTGAATATACCATTGAAATAGTAGTTTCATTGCTAAACCAGCAGTGCCATTACTACATTTCAGTAGTGTTTTTACTGCACTAGTAGTTCTTTTTTTTACGAGGGAGCGTATTTGATGATGCAACAATATTTATTTACAGGCCGAAGGAATATTTTATGCGGCGTATAACTACTCGTGGTACTTGAGGACGCCGACTGAAGCCAGAAATTTGATGCTGCTAATGATTCGCGCCGAAAGGCCTCTATATATTACTGCGGGCAGAATGTTTCCCATGACATTGTCCCTATTTTGCAGTGTAAGATGTCCGTTCGTCTATGTGCTCATACAAATGCGATTGACTTAATTGAAGATTAATTTATCGAGTAAACCCGGCATTATTTTTTATTAATACATAGTGCGACAAATAATTTTCCGAAATGGTGCTATAAATATAAAACAAATTGAGTTTTTTTAGTTTTCTCTTTTTCTTTATTCAAAATATTCTCCTCCTGATTCAATACACTTTTTGCAACGATTTAACAATAATTTAAATGACTGCTCTAGTTCATTTTGTTTTATTGTCTCCAAAGCACGCGTCACAGCCTGCTGAATTGTTTCGACATCTTCAAAATAGCATCCTTTTAACTTTATTTTCATTTTGGGAAATAAAGAAAAGTCACATGGCGCTAAATCAGGCGAATACGGTGAATTCAACACGCAAACCTAATTTTTAACAAAAAATTGAAAGGATGCTATTTTGAAGATGTGGAAACAATTCTACAGGCTTCGACACGTGCTTTGGAGGCAATACCACAAACTGGAGCAGTCATTTAAATCATTGTTTAATCGTTGCAAAAAGTGTATATTGAATCTGAAGGAGAATATTTTGAAAAAAGAAAAAAAGAAAACTAAAAAAACGCAATTCATTTCATTTTTATAGCACCATTCCGAGAAATTATTTCTCGCAATGTGTATATAAAAATTGAATTATATTAATTTTCTTTTGTTCAATACGTGAGAAGAGAGATTAGAAATTAGCTATAAATTATAAATTACAGTTAAAAAGTTTGTTGTAAGTATAGTTATAACTGATTAAATTATCAATTAAATTAATCAAAGATAATTATCCATTAAGTATATCTAAATCCATCCTTATAAAACTGGCAAATTTATTTCTCATTTCGGTTTATAATTATTTAATATAATCATTTATCGCGTCCCCATCATTTTATGTATTTAATATTATGTATTTCTTCTTTTTCAGTTAATAAAGACATCGGCCGGTTACATATCCGTATTGCTCGCTAATCGATAATTTTTCAAATCAATCAGAAATTCAACAAGGATATCACGGTCGAATAAAAGGGGCAAACTATTTAAATGAACAGTGCGCAATCATATCTTATTATATGTCTATAATTTTGAGTACCATCGTTATTTGGTAGAAAAACATATTTTCGTATATAGATGTTAATAATATAAAATATAAAATATATAAAAAAAATATTAAAATATAAAAAAAGTATAAAATTATAATAATTATTAATAAACATAATGTTATAATCATGAATTACGTAAAAAAAAAAAAAAAAAAGATTGTAACAAAAACATTTTTATGCTACGCCCAATCCAAAAATTAAGTATTACAAAATATATAACGAAATATCGATATGTATTTGCTATATCTATAAATTATAAACTAAATTATAAGTTCAAAAATATACATATATTATAATAGTGTCATAATATATTTAACACATATATTTACATAATGCATTTAATTAATATTATCATTGTAACGTCATTTGCGTTACTCGAAGATAACAAGATTAATTTAAAGTTAATCTTGTCAACTTATCATTTTCGCTAACCACAATGCAAAAAAGGATCTCCCTCGATCTTTTTATTTTTCGTGAAAAAAACTATTAAATTTGGAATGAAAGTGCATCTATAAAGTTAAAAATAACAAAGACAACGTTATACATTTATATGATTACTGGCGGTCCCTTAGAACTTTAATATACATATATATATATATATA